GTTTGACCGATTCCCGATTTTTATGATTTTTTAACAAGTCAACTTGAAAATGTAACTACAACATGATTCAAGTAGCTTTTTCTTTATTAACCTTCTAATTAAAAAAAAATTCCATGTGCACCACATATGAAGTTGTCAGCATGATGTAAATGTTAAACAAATCACTTGTTAAATAAATATCTTTGCAAAAAAGATGCATGATCTACAATTACATCTTGTACAAACTTGTCTTATACATATTATATGTTCAGAAATAATACAAGGAAAATGCTTTAAAAAAAATCTCAAAAGTCAAGGTAATTCAAATTCAAAATGACTGAAGGTATAACACCCCAGTAGACTATTATTAACTATAGATGGTCAGTATAAACAATGAACAGCAGCTTTCAGCCTGATGTCACCATGATGCAAACATGAAATTTCAGACATACAGTAGTAGTTCTTTACAGGTTTTTATTGGATTGCATCTCTTGCAGCGTCTCATGCATGAAACGGCATTCTAAAAACGCGGTGCTCAAGTTAAAAAAAGTTCAACTCCCATCTTCCTGCATTTTTTTCCTATTCCACTGCCCGTGTCGCATCTTTGTCAACACAGAAGCGCATTCTGTGTGAATGGCATCTTAAGGTCCTTCACAGAGCACGTCACACGTATTAGCTAAACAAACGCAAATCTTCCACCAAGAAAAAACTGTTTCTGGCAAGAGCATAGTGCCGACTTCAGTTTCTCAGATGAGCCTGTGTTGTTAGTTTATACCAGTTGTTATAGAGGGATAACATTACATACCTTGGAATGTCGCGACTGATCAATCAGAATAAAGTATTCCACAGAGCCGTGTAATAAATTTGATTTAAATTCAGTTCTAAATTCCGTTTAAATTGTTTTTTTTATATAATTTTTTTTGTTGCCAACAGCAACATTTCTAATTTAAAGTCCCCCTGTAGTCAAATATTTTATCCCTTAAAACTTGTCTTTGATCATCAAAATGACATAATTAAATATTTTTTTTTTGTGAAAATAATTTTCTCATGCCTTAAAATAGCTTGAATGTAACTCTACACCCTTACCTCATTTACAATACGTAAAATGCATTGAAGACTCGAATGCAGCCGTTTGTGATTCTTAATTCGCGCCCGCAAGCAATGTGTGTGAAGTGCAGACTAGGGCTGGGCAATATGACGATATTATCTTATATCGACGATGTCTCGTAATTATCGCGATGTCGATGTCAACAGTCAGGTAACAGACGATTATCTACATTATCGGGAAAAAATGACAAATGATAAACCTAGTAAGTTGTAAAAAATATTTTACACAGCCTAGTGGTTAAACGGATCGTAGTTGATCCGTGATCCGTACGGACCAAGCCCCACGGTTCGCCACGCATGTGATCCGCGGATTAATTGCAAAATGTAACCATAATAGATAACATAATGGAGTATAAGTTTATCATTTGTTCGTATTTACACAAGCAAGCAAATTTTAACTATCTACATTATCGGGAAAAAATGACAAATGATAAACCTAGAAGTTGTAAAAAATATTTTACATAGCCCCATAGTCACCATACAGGTCTTTTTGCATGCAAGAATGAAATAATATAGTAGGAGGGTTGGGCATTGAAAAGCTATTCCAATTTTGGAAATCAGATCAGATGCATAAGGTCAGGAATCAAATTGCTTGTTATAAAATTATACATTTCAATTCTGCTTCTCGATTTCTGTATCGCTGTTTTCTGTGCTGCACACACACACAAAATGCACGCACAAAAGCCTCCTCTTATATATGCGAACACTGGACTGAGCTCTCTTTCTCGCATTCTTACACATTCGAATGGACAAATACACACAGAATTATATCAAAATATCCCATAAATGCAATCGGTTATGTCTTAAGTGAACGTAAAGAGTTGAGAAAGAAAACAAGGGTGTATTGGTGATTTGCAGTTTAATAAAAGTTAAACCGAAAAATACAAAAAGTAGCACTGCATGTGTTTCTGAATATGTTTAAACAGACTGCATAATGATGAAAAACCACAAACATGACAGGTATAATTAAAATACGCACTATCAGCACACATTTCAGTGCAATATTTTTTACAGATTTTTTATACAGTGTATACAATATAATTGCTTAATTAAGCTGATAATATAGCACTATAAATTCTTAATTCATTTGCAACAAAACTATAAAGTTTTGTTGCAAACGGCTGAAGACATTATAGTACTATATCTCAGCGTGCCCCTCAACATGCACGCGTTCGGCGATTCGGCAGCCCAACACTGAATATTATTTTGTGGGCATTGTATTTTGATTAATAAAATACAAATTATAAAAATAACAATACAAAAATTAAATTTAAATTACCCTGCTTCTAAATAAATAAAGCAGTTATTTTTATTTTTATTAAAAACGGGCCAAAAGAGACCTCTGTAAGTACTGTAAGGAATTTAACTCATTAATTCTATAAGGGAATTAATCATTAATTTTATTTCTAGCTCAGGTTTTGAAAGGACTCGAATCTGAAAATTCTGAGTCAGTTGTGGAGTGAGGGGAACTAAAATAGCCTAGCTATGTTTACGGTGTTTATTATAATGTTTGTAAACATTTCGTGTCGGCATTAGGCCTATTTCTGAAGAAAATAATAAAATGCGACTTATACGTGACTTGCGTTTTGTTTTTGTAAAAATGAAATTTTTTTATATACGCATAGCGTATTTTAACCATGCAGCAAACCTTTTTAAATATTTTGATAAATTACTGAAAAAAAATTAAAAGACTTTTTAAACCGTTTAACTGATTGTATTAATCGGTCAAAAATTCTTACGGTCGGTTAATGGTTAACCAGTTAAAATGAACATCCCTAGTTGCTGGTATTGGTATATTTTGCATGCTAGTGATAGGAATCGATCCCTTGACGTGATTGGTTATTGGATTGTGACGTAGCAAACCGAGGGCTGTTTCAAACCGCATTTCTGAGACTGCCATTGGGAAACTACAGTTTTAAGGAGAAGATACTCAGCAATGGTGTTGATTAATAGATTGGCACATGGTTTGTCTAAAAGCATATTAAAACCACCACATAGACATAAACTTGATTTTCACTACAGGAGGACTTTAAGATTTTTTTCTTTTTACGATTGAGTTTAGATTTTCATTTAATATTTATGTTAACGAATAAAATTAACAATAATAACACTGATTGATATACACATTTGATTATTACATGGCTCTTGAACACTTTACTCTGATTGGTCCATCACTGTATTATTTTGGGTTTATTCTCATTACGTCGACTGTACATTATATCTCACTTATGTATTAGGGAGTTTATCTTTGATGTTAGAAATTTAGTTTGATCTGGACACAGTCCTAAAATACATGGTTGACCAAGAGCAAATTGCATGCTCCATCTCTTTTCATTTCTCACAAGTGCTTGACTGTTGAAGAAGTATAGTGTCTTAAAGATATTATGTGGTCTTTGCATTGTCATTGTCATTACGTTAGTGCATGATTGAGCAATGGATTACTGCTGTATAGTCCTTAATATTCAGTGCTGACTTTGTTTACCAATATAATGATTTTGGTCAGATTTTGTGAATGACATATATTTTGCTCACAGAACAAATAAGCAGCAATGATGCATTTCATGACTTGCTTCTTTTTACGGCTGTTTCATGAGGTTAAATGAAACGCGTCAAAGCTACATTGTGTAGTTGCCATTGCTGTGTGCTGACGCTGGGTAAAAAGGTGAAGTAATTAAAAAATGCTTTACTTCAGCATGCCCTTTTGGACCTTATAAAATTTGTGTAATTTTCTTATGCTGTATGTCCGTGTTTATAGTCTCGTAAGTTCCCTGTATGAAAATTGCTCTATTCTCTCCCTTCTAAGAGGAAATAGAGCAGTCTTCCTGTTTAGGCATGATTATTTGTCTTACACAGTTGGAGTTGAGCTATTGAGCAGCTCTGTTTATTGACTCTAAATGTAGTGATTTTATTTTCATAAAAGGCCTCATTTGCTTTTATCCTACTAAGGTACAGTATGTGTAATTCTAAGATGTGCTGTCCAGCTGTTATAATGAGGGTATACTACTGAATCCCCATTGTGAAAAGTCATACCACACTAGTGACACTACACTTCAGAAAGAACCAAACTTGTAAAATTGTGAACAACTGAGACAGCAGGGAAAAATCAGCCTGTTCAGCCCGAGAACCTTAGGCAAAATAGCTTTATTTGAAGTAAATGAAAATGTACAGAGTCTGTCATAATTTTGTATAGGCATTTGAAATGCATTTTAACATGGATCTTTATGCAGACTTTTAGTTTACAAGAAACCTTCAGACTCTTAAACACAGTTTTGGAAAATTAGACATCACGTGACTTTTACACTACGACATATTGAACGGACTGTCTTTGCACTGACTCTCTGTTTTCGAGGTCAGTGCAAAATGTTTAGCAGATTTATTCTAGTCAGCTTTATTTTAATTTGATCTGTACTTCCATCAGTCACAGCCTTTTTTTTTTTTTTTTTTTTTTTATTTTTTTTTTAAACGGCGTAAGCATAAACCGGTCGCAACAGGTAGTTTTTTTCCTCTTACTCCGATTTCGCACGGCATATAAATGCAATAAACCGCTTTCTGTTGGCTTATTGAAGTGCGCATTTGTGATACTTGACAGGAACGCATCGTTAGTGCAGATTTAAGCGCATCTAGACCGAGCAAACGTCTTGCAGTAAAGAAAGAAGGAAATATATCACAAAAGCAGACTTTTTCATGACTCAGAAAATGATAAAAATGTGTTCTCATCTCGTGCAGCAGAAGTAGAGGTGGTTCAGTCACATGACATGGGATATACATCATACCGTGCAGCTCTTGTTGCTCATAGTTTACCCATCTCTTGTATTGAATTTATGTTAGTGTTTACGTCATACTCTGCTGACATAATGCTGTTGTAAATACTTTTGCAATACCACTAATTTGCTTGTCCTGCTGTCCATCTTCAGCGCCGTGGCTCAGCTGAACGATGGTGAAGCCAGATATTCACACTCTGGCCCACCACCTGAAGCAGGAACGGCTGTACGTGGCATCAGAGAAGCAGCTCATCCAGCGGCTCAACAATGAAGTGCTAAAGACAGCAGAGAGGCTCTACCGTGCAGCCTGGATCGCCAAACAGCAAAGGATCAACCTCGACCGCCTCATCCTCACCAGGTGACTGCACTCCAGACCAGTAAAACCAGCAGGCTCTCCTCGTGATTTTCTTTCATGACTCATTACCTGATCATCTGAACCGGAAGAATCACTGAGATCACATTGCGGATTATCACAGTGGTAGAGACTAGGGAAAGAGCCAAATGAGTATTCTGGCTTGGCAAGTTCGGACATCTGATTGACTAATTCTTTCTTTTATCATTCTAGACTTGAAAGAAGTAAAGTTTTTGTCATCGTTTACTTGCCCTCATGTTGTCCCAAACCCTTATGAGTTTCTTTCTTTGTGGTACATGTTAAAAGAAATGTTGAAGAATGTTCACTCTTTCCTCATATAAAATCCTGGATTCCACTTTCAATATATGGAAGAGAGAGGCTTGTGCATTCTCTAGAAGTTCTTATTTTGTGTTGAATGAAATAAATGAGGTCATATGGGTTTGGAACATCATGAGTGTGAGTAAATTATGACTTCTGGTTAAACTATTGCTGAATATGGCAGTGGTTTTCAACCTTTAACCTCCAAGGATGCTAGGAACTTCTTGAAACAACATTCAAGTTCATTCAGGACAGCCACTTTGATATTCAGTTGGGATTTTATAAACTTGTATTGAATATTTGGAGTATCCAGCCAGCAGATAGTATCGAGATATTTCTTTATCTGAATTGCATTTGCACATTCATTCCAGTTCATCTCCAGCATGATCAGATTTAATCACATGATTCTCTGCAGTCCAGTTCTCTAAATGCATCTCTTTCCTTTCCAGTGCGGAGGCCTCTCCTGCAGAATGCTGTCAGCATGCCAAGTTTCTGGAGGACACACAGTTTGTGGATGGTTATAAGACACTGGGCTTTCAGGAGAGCATCTATGGGCAGTTCTTGGGCCGCTTGAGGGAGAACCCGCGATTAGTGGCATCCTGTTTGGTGGCAGGAGAGAGACTCAATCATGAGCACACGCAGGGGGTCATACACACAGTCTTCACCTCGCTCTATGGCAACTGCATCATGCAAGAGGATGAATGCTACCTGCTGCAGGTACATAGGATATACATTTGTGTCGTGGTACAGATATAATTTTTTATATGATTTTATTTATTATAGTATATTATTTTTGATATATGTATTATTAGGGATGTAACGATTCACTCAACTCATGAATTCGATTCAATTCACGATTTTGGTTTCTCGATTCGATTCACAATTTTTTTTTTTTTACAAAATGAGATTCAAGACAAATTATAAATTAAATGTGTCCTTTTATTATTGCTTGGACAAAATACTGTACGTTTCTTTGTGAAATTGAAATATAACACTATAATAATATACTAATATAGCACTTGTAAATGATTGCTCTTTTGTTGGTTTTGATTGCTTCTGTTGTCCTCATTTGTTAGACGCTTTGGATAAAAGCGTTTGCTAAATAACACAATTTTTATATAATGTAAATGTAAATAACAAAACTATTTTTTTTATTTATTTTAAAACAAGCCCCAAATCAAATAAATAAGTAACACAAATAAAAAAAATCTCTTCATATAAACAAACTAAGGCTTTGTCTGTACTCTTTCCAATTAAAATTAGAGGCAACCACTGCATTTTAATCATGATCCAAACAAAGATGCTGCATACATGCAACATGAGCAGTTTTTAATCTAAATTACATTGTATAATTTCAAAATTTGAAGCAAAATCAGAATGGTTTGCATAAAAACCATTATTTTATGAAATTATGCATAAAAAATATCTGCATGAAACAAACAGCAGACGAGCTGAACGAGACGCAGATTCACTCTCTGCCAGCAGGTGGCGCTTAAAGCGTTTCCTTGGTTTCCGCTGTAAACAAAGCAGCGCTGCACTTATGAACTTTAATATGCATTATACAGAGGCAAGAGGAAAAGAAAAAATACCATCGAAAGACAGTAAGTTCCCCTCAGACATGCATTCATATAAACTCCTACCCCTAACTGAATCGCGATTTGTTTAGCATCTCAAACGATTTGAATCGTCACATATTTAAATCTATTTTCAACTGGCTCACGGTTAATCATTACATCCCTATGTATTATTATATAAAATATTTATTTAATATATGTTTTATTCATTACACTTTTTTATTTGATATATATTTATTTATTTTTAATTTTATTTGTTAAGGATTAGATATTTATACCACATATAACTTTTCTTTTGTACTGTCCTACTCTGTCCAGGTGCTACGTTATTTGGTGGAATTTGAGCTAAAGGAAAGTGACAACCCTCGTCGTCTGTTACGGCGAGGCACGTGTGCCTTCAGCATCCTCTTCAAACTCTTCACCGAGGGCCTGTATTCAGCTAAGCTTTTCCTCACTGCAACCCTCCACGAGCCCATCATGCAATTGCTGGTGGAAGACGAGGACCATCTAGAGACAGATCCAGCCAAGCTGATAGAACGGTTTACCCTGGCCCAGCAGGAGCGCCTGTTTGGGGAGAAAGGCACAGATGAGTACCGCAGAAAAGTTCAGGTAGCGGTGGAGGCCAACGAAGCCAAGCTGGTGGCCCTGGTCAACACCTTTATCGGCTACCTGAAGCAGAACACCTATTGCTTCCCACAGAGCCTGCGCTGGATTGTGTCTCAGATGTATAAGACGCTGGCACGTGTGGAAAGGTTAGAGGTCGGGGAGGTGAGGACGATGTGCACCGACTTGCTGCTCACATGCTTCATCTGTCCAGCCATCGTCAACCCTGAACAGTATGGCATCATCTCCGATGCACCCATCAATGAGGTGGCACGTTTCAACCTCATGCAGGTAGAGAATAATGGGTTTGCATCATTACCAGTATATTACAAAACAACTGTAATGAGGTCAGCTAGGTTTAAAATGCTGAGAGTATGACAATATTTGCAAATTAGAATGTACACATTTTTATTTGTATTTAAATGATTAGCATAAAAAAAAAATCATATTTATCAAAACAATATTTTTTTATTGAACTAAGCCTACAATTGTTGCATGAATAACCAGTCAGTGATTTTGTCATTTTAATTTTCAAGTCCCACAAAAATTTGTTCATAAAATGATACATAGAGGGTTATGTACAGAGCAGAGTACAGTTTTCAGTTCACTTCAGGTTCTGATTCTGAAGTTAAACATGGATGAAAATTATGACTTGCAGTTCAGTGAGTCAAATGTTAATTAATTAAAATAACCAAATTATAATAAGGCGACACTAAATAAACTTATAAACAGGCGACACTATAGAAAGACATCCAGCCATAATTCAATACAACACTTTTTCTGACACAAATATTAAGTGTGGTTTATGTCTGTCTGTGATATTAATATATTCTAAAAAATAAAACCTAATTTGATGTTTTAGGTGGGGCAGTTGTTGCAGCAGTTAGCAATGTCTGATGCAGATGGTGGAGATCCTCGACATAAAAGCAGTTTATCCAAGTTTGATAAGGTAAGAGACAAACCCAGAATTATAAAGCGTCTTTGTTTCGGATTGTCTTTCTCATCTATATTGTCTTTCTCATTTTGTTGCTATATGAAGACGAACATAGGCTATTGGCGTATTGCACACTGGCCAGTTTCCTAAATCTCAGTTTAGCAACATCTCAGAAGCAGAAACCAACCAACTACAGTGAAATTTCATGATTCTCAATACAAATTGACCACAAAATAAACGTCCTTTATTTTAAAAGTTAAATCATATTTTAGTAAATATCTGGGTATTCCATACATACAGAATATTAACATACTGCACAAAGTACATTGTGCAAATAGTATGAGTAGTACGATGGTAGTACGCTATTCCAATCATGACTAGGGAATGTTACATGTTTCATTAACATGTCCCAACGCTCTTTTTGTGGATTGATTCATTGCAGCTTTTTTGTCTTTTTAGATGTGTGTTGCTGCCTTTTTGGACGTCGTCATTGGTGGAAGAGCTGTCGAGACTCCACCGATGTCGTCAATGAATTTACTGGAGGGCCTCACACGGACGGTGGTTTACATGACTCATAATCAGCTTTTAGCTCTGGTATGTAATGCAGTGAAGAAAGATGTGTGGAAGGAAGTCAACTTCATCTGATTTTTATGATTACGTCATCAAAAGTACAAATGAGCTTTGGGCTGTTCACGTGGTCACCGTGAAATCACATCCGTCTAAAATATTGGTCTGCAGTTTTGTAATAAGTTGCACTATGACTTATATAAGAATTCCTTTGCAGTTTCACATCCTTTTCCTGCCTGAAATGTTGTCTTTATGAAAATGTTTATAGTTTGATCATTTTCTGTACAGTTCTATTCAAATGAATCTGTTTAGTTTAGCAGAGAGTGGGATGTCCTAAACATTGTCATATTCACAAACTAGTCTACGTTCAGTAAACTAGGACTGTCCAATTAAATTGTAATTTAGTACAATTTTAGAAAATCTAATGTGATTCTAAAATGAACACGTTTAATCATGTCCTCTGACCTGCATGTGAATAAGTACACAAAAACACTAAGACTAACACCAAGACAGATTGATTGCACAATGGATTACTGTAGGCCTGTGACAGGCTTATGCTAATATGGAAAAAAATGTATTGACTTCTAAACATTGACATTAGATTATTGTAGCAGATGTGTAGAGCATTGCATTTTCTTCATTTGAGAGCTTTTATGTAATATTGATATGTAATAACTTGCAGTTAATTTAATCACAGTGTGATGTGTAATTAAACACGAATAATCACTTTAATCATTTGACAGCCCTAATCAAAACACATCTCAGTGCTTTTACTGTACTCAGCAACTCAGCTTTTACAGAAGATTCAGATCAATGAAAAATGACCCGTCTACCTCACCCTCTTTCGAACCTCAACAGAGCATGCCCAAACCCATCCCACTAATATAGCAGTAACAGTCATACTGCATACCTTTACAGTCCTAATGCTTTAACTCTTCCTGCCCAACACTGCCAAGAGCCAATAACCCTCCGTTTCCCTGTGTTTTTCTTCTCAGCATGTGCAGCAAGATGCTCATCATCGCACTGTCATTTACAGAGCCAATTAGCCCGACTCCTATGTTGTTATTGCATTAGACTCACTGTTTGAAATTCACTAATGATGATAGCTGAATAATTAGGCCCACCTGCTTTAATTACCATCACTGATTAAGAATGAGTTAAAAAATTACCTGAAGACATAAAGAAAACTTATTGTACATCTTTGCAGGCCTTATTTCACAGGATATCAACTTGGAGTGATTGTTTGATAGCGTGTTTGTGCCAAAGAAAAAAGAAATGTCTTTAACCTCATTTCTGTTCAGGAGGACTTTGTGCGTAGTGTCACTGCAGGAGATCAGCTCAGAGAAGAAGACCACCTGGCTCTGGAAACCCTAATAGCCAATGTACCTCAGTCCCGCACGACAAAGAGCAACAGCCTGGAGCTCACACCTTCTAACACACCCCAGCTCTCCCCAGCTACCACACCCGCCAACAAGAAGAACAGACTCCCTATTGGTATTCCTTCTACATTAACTTTACTGCATGTTGATTGCTGCAGATTCTTTGGAGACTAACCCTCTGATTTATAGAAAGTGCAGTCCCAGTGTATTCTGATACAAAAATAAATGACTCTTTATTCTGGTTCTTTGAAATTGTTCAAAAATAATCAAATTGAATTCACTGAATGAACCTACTGAGTCAGTCAAGAAGGGTACTGAATCAACATCTGACTCACTTATTGAACTGCAAGTATCATTGCTTTCAGTGATGTTCATATTCAAAGTAAGTTTTGTGCTCTATGGATGTGAAACTTAAATCCGTGTTGTTAGTTACTGGTTGTTCATATGATTGTGTAGTTGAGGATGCACACTTGGGATTTTTAAATAAATAGAAAATATTTTAGTAGTAATAATAATAATAATAAAAATATTTTATTTAAGAATGGATGGCAATAATCATTTATTATTGTCACTTAATATTATTGTTATAAGACTACTAACTAAAATTATGTATTGAAATGTTACTGTTGATGTGGGCATGAATATAGCCATTGTTGCTGATATGGCATTAAAACATAAATAAATAAACTGCTACTAATTATTATTTATATATAAGATTATTAAATACTACAACTACTACTACTAAGATATGTAAGATAATACTGCTACTATTTGTTGTTGTTCTTATTATTAGATAGGATGATGATGATAATAATAATAATAATAATAATATTTTTTAGAATTCACCAAAAAATCTTAGATAGCATCCCATGTCTCTTTCACAGAGACAGCAATCTTAAAATGAGCTTAGAGAAAAAAATAAGTCCAAGATGATTAGGTCAAAGAAATGTTGATTTAAAATAATATAAAAAAATATTTCATTCAGTATTAAAAAGGTTGAATCAAAGTAATTCAGTAATATAAATATTTTTTTTAATTTATGATTTTGCCCATTATATCTGTGTGTTGTTTTTTTTTTCCTGCATAGAGCATAGCATTGTTAGCTTAGCTACATGTTAATCTATTCAAAATATATTGAAATATATTGAGCATGGGAGGCTTAGGAATAGAGAGTCATAAGGATGCTGGAACAGAGCTAATATCTCCTTTTTACAACTCACCCAGACATGGACACTAGTTAGTGGTCTTCTATTAATTAACTACTGTTTGTTCTTACACTCATTTACTGATCTTTTACACACTGTTTATCTTATCCACCAACTCTCTGACTTCCCCCTTCTGTCTCTTCCACCTTTTTTCTTGCCTTGCTGCCAATGATCTTCAGGACAACAGTTGGCTGCCATAACGTGTTGGGAGCCCTCTGCCACTGCCCTGTCCGCTCATATACCCTTAGTAACCCCTTTTGGTGGGTAACCCTGACAGACTGCCGTGACCGACATGTACCTCTCACCGCTTCACCCATGCTTTTTCCGCACTTGCTGTGTCTGCCGTGTGTGTCCCTGCTATGCATTTTGCTTCTCGCTGTACCATATCTGGGCTGCATTACTTGCCCCATGCGATATAAATGTAGTTGAAGTGAGACAAGCAAGACATTTCAGTGTCATAAATTTTGTAAGATGTGCATGCACCTTTTCCACCATATTCCACACTAGCTGTTTTCTACATTAGAATACATTAGAATCTTGCAAAAAAAGGTTTCATCAGCCATAAAAAGGGGCAGTCCAGTTTGTCTTTAAGCAGTCTGGAACATGTGTTCATTGTTTTAAAGTGTTATCTGTAAAATATATTTTGCCACAGTTCCTTTAACAAGTTTCTTCACTCACATGTTATTGTTGCCATTTAAAGATGTTTTTGAGCATTTGTGAATGCTAGTGCTCATGCAGGCTTTTGCTAACACACTTAGCAGCCTTGCTGTTCCTCTAACCCTTACAGTTTGTCTCCTTTCCCACTCTTCCTCACCCAGCAGGCTCTCGCAGCCGAAGCCGTTCTAACATGGCCCAGGAGGGAGAGACTGAAGCCAGCTCTCAGGAGTCTCTGCAGGAGGTCACACCTGAAGAAGTGCTAGTCATCTCGCTGGGAACCTCACTGCAGACTGTACCTGGGATGATGTCTGAAAACGAGGTCAGAATCTTTAGTCAATATGTCATGCTGTGAAGGTCCAATTGTAGTAGTTACAGTGTGGAAAATATTTATTTGATCCCCTGCTGATTTTGTAAGTTTGCCCACTTACAAAGAAATGAAGGGTCTTTCATTTTTAAGGTAGGTTTATTTTATTGGGTAGAGACAGCATACCGACCAAAAAATCCAGAAAAAAACACATTATATAAAGGTTAGAGATTGATTTGCATTTCAGTGAGTGAAATAAGTATTTGATCCCCAACCAACCAGCAAGAATTCTGGCTCCCACAGATTGGTTATGTGCCCATGTGGAACACAGATTAGTCCTGTCACTTTAAGAAGTTACTCCTAATGTCAGCTCATTAGGTGTATAAAAGAAACCTGTCCACACAATCTGTATGTTCCATTCCAACCTCTCCCACCACCATCGGCAAGACCAAAGAGCTGTCAAAGGATGTCAGAGACAAGATTGTAGATCTGCACAAGGCTTGAATGGGCTACAGGACCAACAGCAAGAAGCTTGGTAAGAAGGAGACAACTGGTGGTGCGATTATTCGGAAATGGAAGAAATACAAAACAACCATCAATCGGCCTCGTGCAAGATCTTGCCTCATGGGGTAAGGATGATCATGAGAAAGGTGAGGGATCAGCCCCGAACTACACGGGAGTAGCTTGTTAATCATCTTAAGGCAGTTGGGACCACAATTGGTAACACACTACGCTGCAATGGACTTAAATCCCGCAGCGCCCGCAAGGTCCCCCTGCTCAAGAAGGCACATGTACAGGCCCGTTTAAAGTTTGCCAGAGAACATCTAAATGATTCAGAGAAGGCTTGGGAGAAAGTGCTGTAGTCAGATGAGACCAAAATTGAGCTCTTTGGCAAAATCAGCAGGGGATCAAATAAATATTTTCCCCACTGTAACGAGTATAGTGATATTGGTAAGAGACTGCTGTGTCTGTGTGTAGGTTCTGACTCTGCATCTTGGAGATGGTGGACAAGGAGACGCCCCTGTTGATGACACCAAACTGCATGGCAAACCTGACAAAACGCTGCGCTTCTCACTCTGCAGTGACAACCTGGAGGGCATTTCTGAGGGTGTGTTTTCACCAGACAACCAGCAGATGACTCTGTTGTACATAAACTCTTCCATATCCACCTGACATATTCTTTTCCATTATTACCTTTTGTAATAAATTGAGATGTAAAAGATTGTTAGTTTATTTATCTTGTTATTTTTGGACAGAAACGGTTTTGTTTTGTTTTGTTTTGTTTTGTTGACTGTTGTTGCAGTAAGTGTTCTGTTGGCTAAACACATCACCAAAGTAACTAAATACAGTAGTAGTACATTAGTTAATATGAATAAATGTGGTCTGTCTGCAGGGCCTTCTAACCGCTCCAATTCAGTTTCTTCGTTGGACTTGGAGGTAGAGTCTGTGTCAGAAGGAGGACCAGGGCCGTCTGGTAGCAATGGTGCAGAGGCCTTGCAGCTACTGGAACATGAACAAGGTGACTCCAGCAACAAATTAAATATGATTTCTTGTAGAATTTTTTTTTTGTTAGAGTGGTGTAGCTTGATCATTACTCTGATTTGTTTATTTAGCCACTACACAGGATAATTTGGACGATAAGCTGCGTAAATTCGAGATTCGGGACATGATGGGACTAACAGAAGACAGAGACATTTCTGAGACTGTCAGTGAGACTTGGAGCACTGACGTCCTGGGCAGTGACTTTGATCCCAACATGGATGAGGACCGACTGCAGGAGATAGCAGGTAAGAGTGTATTTCTGCAAATCTTGCAGTCATGGCTGCAGTCATAAGGCTATGTACTTTATAGTGCGTTAGTTTCCTATAGATTGTATAAAGTTCATATAACCATAAACAGTAGTTTTTCTCTCTTTGCAACTGAAATTTCAGTTTTAGTTTTAGAGTTGATTTTGATCTTGGATTCCTAACATTTTGTTTTGGATTCAAGTGCAAATTACACATTTGATAAGTGTGACAAATTGTGAGAAAAGGTTCCTTTTGGCATTGCTAACCCATTACTGCCACCTTGTGGTTTGCTGAAAAGGTGCACTTCTCTGGATTCTTTTACTGTTATTCTATTCTATAATTATATTTTTATATACAAATTATTTGTCATTTTAGCCATTTTTTTTTAAATTTGTACATTTTATTATAATAATAATATTAACTAGTTAATTATATATATACTATATTATAATATTACTATAATATTATATGTATATTATATATATACAGTATATATGTATATTAGACTTGTGCCGGTATTCGGTAATGCGATATATCACGGTAATGAATGTGCACGATATTGTTATCGTGGGCACTTCTAAGTACCGTGAATAATTATATATTACAAATTATTCAGAATTTTGAATGCATTTTAAGAATACTTTTCCCATCAACTGGTC